CTTTAACTTTTTGTTTCGCTTTGCTATATTGGATTGTTCGCATTTTGATACAGTACTTTATGTAGTCCCAAAATATTCAACTTTCCATCCACCTAGAGATTCTTTTATTAATTTAACATAGGTTCTATCATTTAAAAGAGTAGCATTAAAGATCCAAAGTTCAGGTCCCCTTTGATTTCTATCTATTCTTAAAACTAAATGAATTGAAGAGTGGTCGCTTAAAATGTTTGGTTTAATTATCACATATCTCTATCATATCCTGTATTTTATTTGCGGTTAATCAGAAGTCAATTCTGCTTTAAATGTGTGGATTTTTCCTCCTCCATGTATATTTCTTTAATGAAGGATTTTTTATTCGATAGATATCAGTGAGATCAAAACTATTTATTATATTATGAATAGCATTCATACCGTCCTTTTTAACTCTATAATTCCCGCCTGCTCTATCTAGTAATGGATTTAGTACGTTATTAAAATTGCCTCCAATTATTATGTTGTAGTTTTCATTTCTTCTAGAATTGTTTCTATTTTATTAAGAATATGTAAGTAGTATACCGATTGTTCTAAGTTGTTTACAGGACTATAGATGTTGGAGAGGATATATTTTTCATCACTTATTAATAATATTAAAGCATAATATCCTTCAATATCTGAATATTCCTTTAGGATGTCAAAGCTGTCTTCCACTTTAAATAGGATAGCAGTTCCAGCTGAGTTGGATCTGTTGTATGCGAATACAGCTCTACAACCCAATCTCTAACCCAGGAACCCTCATCATCCTTTATGCTATATAAGTTTCTTGTAAGAAGCAAACATTACATTCTGTATTTTTTATCCAGTTAAATACCTTTTTACGTTTAATTTATCACGCAATTCCCTAACGTTTAATGATAACAATTCTAACTTGGCCATTTTTGTTTTAATGGGTTGGATGCAATAATTGACGGTACAGCACATGCATACCCTGAAATGTGATTACATTTAATACAAGGATAAGTTACTCTAATACAATAATGCTTGTAATTTCTTTTCAAATATACAATATATAATATACCGATAGTGTACAATTTTTTCTACATTTATATCAATTAATTTTCATAAAGCTATAGAGAATTTACATTCTCTGTGTATATCCAAGGTGAACATGTTACTAAGATGCAGATTCGAAGAGGGTGGGGCGTGTCTTAGTTATTTATAATTATCTGTTGATACAAAAGAAGATGATTTTCCATTTGATGTGGTTCATTACAATATTTAAATCATTTAATGGTAGGATTTATTTATACATATTGGTTCCTGAACATTACTATTGCCTCGACATAATAATCATTATAAGATTTACTTTAGGTTTTTTATTAACTGAATTTAACCATATTTAACATGTACAGCATTATTATCTTATTTATATATATTTAGAAAGTTGATTTCTTAATGAAGTGTGAATATATATCATTTGAAATTTATTTTCACGCAGTAGATCTTGTAATGTGCGAATTGATAACATTAACGACCTATCTCTTTTTACAGGTTCAGGTTTATGCTGGGGTGGAGATAAAATGGCCTTTTGAAATGGGTTTCAATATACATACATAAAAATAAATTACAGTTTGAGTCCTTCGATATAACAGTTATATACAATTAATTTACTTCATTTACTTTTATAGCGTTCCTGTTTTTTCATCACGTATGTCTGTCATGAATTCATCGATTGTCTAGCTATTTCGGGAGATGCATTGTTCAGTTTGTCTATAACTTTGTGGACCTCTTCAAACAGTTCAATTTTAACACGTTTCTTCCCTTCCAGCTTCCCATAAACATTGCAGTTATTATACCAGGACGAAACTCCATCTAATGATTTCAGCCTGTTTAGTAATCCTCTGTTTTTAAAAGTTATATCATCAAATATCATGAAATTATTGATAAAGAAAGCTTTCCGTTTAAGCATCACCCTAGACTTTGATTCACTATTTAAGAATTTAACTAAAATTGGTTTAGGTTTGTCACTATATTTTGAACGCAGTCTTTGTATAGCCAATAAATGGTCTGGCGATAAACTTACACCTGTAACATTCTTTACTATTTGACAGAATTTTAGTCTAAGGTTTTCATCGGTTTCTTCTCTTATCCCTTATAAACCTATAACGGTAAGTCTCTTTGATCTTTGAGGTATATTCTATGCCCGGAATAACCTGCTGGGGGCAGCTTTGGATATATACAGAGGAATCTGGAGTTATTCTTCTAAACGTTTTTCTTTAAACCTGTAACAGGTTATTCTCCCAGAGTAGGGTTTTTTTCATAAGAAAACATGATATAAGGTTTTTCTTACGGGAATTCTGGGATATTCTCATTTTACGTACATCTAAACATAAACATAGACGGTTTATAAGCAAGATAAAGTCCTCGATTTCGGTTATGCTGGGGAAGAAAGACTTCAGAAAAAACCTCGAAGAAAACCCTCGGCCTACCGGCCTCGGTTTTCTTTTTCTCGGGTTATTTTCTTCAGTCTTTCTTTCCCCAGCATAACCTCAGTCTCGTGCTTTATCCTACACATAAAGCTCCACATTCAGTTTTCTCGAGTATTGTTCGTTGTAATTTGCCCTACTAATTGCTTCATTATTTTTCAGTTTGAGTACATTTTGATATTGTTTTATTTCAGCTATTTCTCGTTGTAAACTTTTATTTTCAACAATAAGCTCATCATTTATAGCTTTTTGACTCTAGGTATTTTTCTTTCAGGCCATTGGATTCTTCAACCAAGGCTTTTATATCATTTTGTATTTCAGTTTTTACTTGATAAAAGATAGTAGTCCTTAACTGTTCAATTACATCTGTTGTGATTTTACCGACCTGACCAGCTTCCGGTATAAATTCTTGAGACCCGACTGGATATCCGGAACAACGCACAATCCTCGACCTGAGTTCCAGTATTGCTACGCCGGACAGTATAAATAAGTCATCACCGTCAATGGATCGGTCTTCAAAGCTTCACAGAGAAGCTAAGGGTGAAAGAGCGGCTGCGAGACTACAAACACCAAGTCATCATCTGTGAGTGCGGAGAAGAATGTACCACCAACCATGTCCTGGTAGACTGCGAGGTATACGAGGAGGAGAGAAGGAAACTAGTGAGAACAATGGAGACCAACAACACACCATTCAACACTAAGAACCTACTCTTCCCGAGACCAGATCTAAAACTGCAAATCTTCGAACAAATCCACGCCCTAATGGACACAGTTGGACTAAGTAGAATAGTGAAGTAAAAGGGGGTCACGGTTAGACGGGCCCGGCATCTAAACACTAAACTACATAGGGGATTTATACCAAACTGGCAGGATAGTGGAGTAAGGGGGAGTCACGATCAGACGGACTCGGCATCTAAACACTATTCCACCAAAAACAATACACCAAACCTACAGAGTGGGATAGTGGAGTAAGGGGAGGTCACGATAGGACGGGCCTGGCACCTAAACACAAACCCCACAAAGATGACATCTACCAAACTAGCAGGATAGTGGAGTAAGGGGGAGTTACGGTCAGACGAACTCGGCACCTAAACACTATTCCGCAAATAAAACTGATACCAAACCCAGAGAGTGGGATAGTGGAGTAAGGGGAGGCCACGATAAGATGGGCCTGGCACCTAAACACTAAAACGATGACATCTACCAATCCAGAAGCAGACGAGATCATCTACCAAACGATATGTTTTATATTAAATAAAGGGAAGAACTTCCCACTAAACCAAATCCATGGCATTCCTGATTATTTATTTATAAGATCATCAGAATTTCTATTAGAGCCTCTCTTGATATATTGATAAAGTCATAAATAAAATATATGTACCACACATAAACACAATTCATCATATAGGTCGATAGCTATGGTTTAAGTGAAATTCCAAGTTTTAGATGGTTGATAATAGTGTATTTACACTAATTAATCAGATCATTTGTTTATCTGGATTGCCAATATACATAATTATGGAAGTGTATAGTTGTCAATAGCGCGACATTAATAAGGTAATAATATGTGATCTTTGCGATGATTTTACCTCTGAAAACAAGATTTTACCTCTGAAACATGATTTTTACTGAGTTAATTGAATCAACGCGCTATGTCATTTCGTTTTAAATGAGGACGTTTGCGTTAAGATATTGCTATTCTGAAGCTTTGTCGGCATTATTAAGCTGACAAGGCTTCAGCACAGCAATATCTTAATGCAAAAGATTTAGGTTACGAATTTCAGGTTTGCTATTGATGGTGCCGTCTGTTCAATTCCCTGGCAACATGCAGGATCAACGTGAGGATAATTATATATATTTAACTATGTTAGTTCCACTGAATGATCCAACCATGACAATTACATCCCATCTTTTCTCTGCAGACTATGAAAGCGTATAGGGGCCAATAGCGCGAAAGATTTCGCGATATTAATAAGGTAATACGTCTACATATTGTGATCGTTAAGATGATTTTACCCCTCAAAAGACCATTTTTGCCGAGTTAATTTTACTAACGCGCTATGTTGTATGTCGCCATTCCGTTTTTAATGCGCAGGTTTGCCTTAAGATATTACAACTCTGAAATTTTGTCAATACATTCCATATATGACGATGCGCCATGTCGACAAATACTACGGCGAAATGGAATATGTTGACAATGCTTCAGAATAGCAATATATTAACGCAAACGTGCGCTTTTAAAACGAAATGACGACACACAGCATGGCGCGTTGATTCAATGAACTCAGCAAAACTGATCTCAACGATCACAATATGTAGACATATTACCTTATTGATATCACAATATCTTTCGCGCTATTGACGGCCCTATACGCTTCTATTGCAGATATATGTGTTCTTATTCTCAGTATATTGATCGTCACAAAAAAACAATTCGAATAAAAATATAATTAATGACATGCCGTAAATCAACCATTTTAGATTAATGATAGTAATAACAACATATTTTATTTAATTACGAGTTAGTAAGACGTTGGCTCGCTAACCTGAAGGCACCGTTTTCGATCCCTGAGTTGGCCGAGAACGTTTATCGGGATATTACGTTGCAGAATGGTCAAAAGGTAATAATGGGATTTCGGGCACTTTCTTTTGGTGACTAGAAGGCAAAGTTTTGGTTTTTTTTCAAAGAAATATTATGTTTCTTATTTTATTTTTCACATTGTCCGTCTACCCGGAACAGCCCGACATATTGTCAAATAATTAGAGAGGCGCTGTTTTGGGTTAACCAATATGGCGTCGATGACTTCCCAAAATGACGTCATGCTTCTTGGTGTGAAGGCATTTTCACGTTCTCAATACGCGTACCCAATACCCCCGCTACGCTCTTGGCACACACGCTTTGCGCCGCACAGCAACGTTCTCACCACTCTCAACCACATTGGTGCCACGATCTAGAAGTCCACGCTGACACGACGCCCCGAGCCCACCATTGCTTACAGTGATTTTACATTGATTAGTGGATTCTTGTTCTGTAGGGCAGATATTGAGAGTTAAAAAAAATAACCCAACTTCACACATACACCACGACTTCGCTACGACCTAAAAGAAATCTGCCAGATCGTGTCTGAGAGCGGCACGGACGTGGCGAGGTCTTTGTGAGCATGGTATCGAGTGGGTAGTGAGAGCGGGGACAATGTAGTGGAAGCGAAGCGTATTGAGAGCGGAGCGGGACGTGGGGTCATAGCGAGGACTTCGTTTAGTGTGAAGGCTACTATACGAAGCTCGTAAAAGCATGATGAGAGCGTAGCACGATCTGATTGATCTAGAGAGGGCTTGATGAGCTCTTGGTCAACGTACAATGAAAATATCAATTTAAAAACCTAGGTGCTTGGACTTTCGGAATTAAATGGATGGTTACTGTAAACATATCAATATTTCGTTTACTGTTTACTTGAAAGTCAATCCACAATATAAGATAATCCAATGTCAAGGTTATAGAGTTTCTCCGTCGTCGTTCGTTACCAGCGCACGTTGTTAGCGATACTATATCTTATGTTGTAAAAGTTATGCCGTAAATGAACCATAGTCCACTCTACAGATTTAGTTTTCATAGACCCTAACAGATCAATAAATATACAGTTACCATATCCAAGGCACTAATTGGCCTACTTAAAACTGTAAATAATATTCGAAATTAAAAACACGAATTAGAATTCAATATAGAATTCAACAGTTAATAATGGCTGATTCACAAACGACAAAATACTAATAATAAAAACGTGTAGAATGGACAAAGCATACTCAACAGACTGTCGTTTAATTTGGACTGTTCACGTATTTCACACCCACTGTAGGCTTAAACATATGCCATCATTCCCGGCTTTATCAATTGTGTTTAAAACAAAGTTTCATCTTCCTTAAGTCGTGGGAGCTCATGGCCAGTGCTGGATTAACCATAAAGCAAATAAGGCACGTGCCTTAAGCCTAGCTTATGTCGCCCTACGACGCGACGAAACTGACGGCAACTGGGAGCTTATGTCGCTACGACGAGATTTATCCACTACTGGACGCAATCACGAGCAACCAGTTGGTCCTAGTTGTAAGCATACTCAACAGACTGTCGTTTAATTTGGACTGTTCACGTATTTCACACCCACTGTAGGCTTTATCAATTGTGTTTAAAACAAAGTTTCATCTTCCTTAAGTCGTGGGAGCTCATGGCCAGTGCTGGATTAACCATAAAGCAAATAAGGCACGTGCCTTAAGCCTAGCTTATGTCGCCCTACGACGCGACGAAACTGACGGCAACTGGGAGCTTATGTCGCTACGACGAGATTTATCCACTACTGGACGCAATCACGAGCAACTAGTTGGTCCTAGTTGTAAGCCGGCGTCAGTTGCAGAATCGGAGCAACAACTGATCACATGACTGCCAGTGCCACGTGATAAGCTTCAAAATGGCGGCGGCAATTCTGAAAGAGGTGAGTTCCACATCAAAATACACTATTACTAGTTATATTTTTATCACTGTAATAAATAAAAAGGGTAGGCTCGCCCTGTTGTTCATTTATCCCAACAGTGCGTGGTATTGATATGTTTTTTTTTTCTTGTTTTTAAGCAAATTAGATTAGTAATGCCTGGAAAAAAAACCCAAAAATAGTGAAATACCGTACACTGGTGATTTCAATGGATTTGGATCAAATGGCAACTAGAAAATTTCTGACCCAATTTAACAAAACTGGGCGCACATTCACAAATATGCAAACAATGTTTTGCATGATTCATACGTACAGTGGACATGGCAAGCTATACATCTGAAAGAAATATGCAACTACTGAACCATCGTAAATTTTAAACGGATTTCTTCAATCATGAACAAACTACTTGACTTTGGTTATCATAAACTTACCTGTGTGTTTGAAATTACCTCCGGTTAAATAAAATCCATTGTACAACTAAATATCCCAGCGAATAAAAAAGTTCTCTCTTGTACAATTGAACTCCTTACAAACTTGGTCATCGAAAAAAAAAAAAAAAAATGGAAGCTAATTGCGTCACTTATCGGGACAGATCATTTTGTATAAAGGGGTCTCAGCAAGGCTTATCTATTGTAACGGTGTTTGGCTCAATGAATCATTGAATAGGTATATGTTATTATTTTTATTTTATAAATACCAAAAATTATTATCAACAACAAATCATACTGCACATGAGTTTAATTATCGGCAGATAGTTCCACGTCTTTCTATTTCTCTTCGAATAATATTTCCGTTGTGCAAAAACTGTTCAAAATTTTGCGTCTCGGTAATACTATTAATTTCCGAAAATCCCGGCTTCAATTTGAAATTCACAGGGAAATGTATCCATACGATTGTACTCTCAGTTATTAACTTCAGGCCTATATTAATCACAAGTACAACTCCAATTTGAAATCCACAGAGAATTGAATTTTCTGATAGCATTTCGTAGATCGCTATCATGCCTCAGCCAATCAACGCTTTGAATTCTATTGTATGCTACACAGATGCAGTGAAAATGGTTAAATTTAGCGCAAAACTTTCCCGAGTTTTTCCCACAGTCTGCATAATTAACACACAAGACCCAATAATCAGATACCTCTTTTGACAACTGATTTTTTGTGTTAAATCTAAAATAAATTGTTTGATATTGGAATTTGATTTAAAATAAGGTGTTCCAAATAATGGAATAACAATTTAGTTCTATTTGACTTTTCAGGCTCATCAACGAAGAAGGACTTTAATTGCTGCTAAAGTGCAGAGGCGGAAGGTGGGTGCTTTGCTTGTCATGAAGCACCTATTAGATGAAAGAAAACACAAAAGAGATCGGATACGCTGGAAAAGGCCATGGCTTTACAACCATGATGAACAAGGAATATTCCCAAACCTGGTCAGAGAAATGGAATGCCAATTTTCTAAGAATGTCACCAGCACACTTCAAGGACCTAGTCAGCATGTTGGGGCCACTTATACAAAGGCAGGACACAAACTTCCACAAAGCAATACCACCTCAAGAAAGACTTGCTGTGACTCTGTGGCTCGAATTGGCAGGCGCAAAACTCTATTATATTTTGTAGAAAATAAAATTATTTATAATGTACTAGAAAATTTAACGGAATTAAATAGTTTGGTCTGCAGAGATTTTTTAAAAAGTATAATATTTAGCATAATATAGTGGGGAGGGAGTATGTCATTCCAGGGGGCGTGGCATGTCATCCACACGTACGTAGAAGTGCGATTGGTAATACCTAGGTGCGGATCAAAGTTAGTGTTTTGATATTAAATTACGGATATTTTAGAATCTGAAACATATTTCCCAAGGTCTTTATTTTAAATTTAAAGCATTGGATTTGGGAACATGTTTTACTTTTTGACACAATTGAAAATAATTAATGATATATACATGTAACATACGGTACGGTACGAAACCAATGTTGGTGAGTGATGTGCCATTATAAATCATATATTTCATTCATTCATCATTCGTGTTTTACTTTGTGGAATCCAAGTGAATTCGGGCCATTAATCTTCGACTCACCGATGGCCAAAGCAGATTCGAGATAAGCTAGAATGTTTATATTTAGGCATAATAATATTTTTATAATACAATTTTTATTTATTTGGGTTAAGTTTAAGAAATGAAACTTTATATCACGATATACTTTCATAAGCCCCAAGGACCAAATTAACAATTGAATAGTGTTTGTGTACCTCTTGTGGATAATTAAGAATGACAGGTTAAGCCTAGTTGCTAAAGCCAGAAATATTGACATTTCTAGCTATTTTGTAAATCGTGCGTAATTTAGTACACGAGACATGATTGGACAATATGGGAATAATAATGACGTATATGATAATTTCAGCCAAGGAAAAAAAAACGACACTTACACATAGGGTCACAGTATGGTATAGGCTAGCGCCTGCATGTCTATGCTATGCTTTCTGTTGGTTTTTGTGTGTGTTAAATTAATCGGTAAGCGCACGAAGGAGAAACAATGAATTAAGAGGGCAACTTGGAGTTTTTTCCTAAGTGGCGACTTTTTTTACTTTTTATTATAAAAAAATCCACTTTTCCGCCATTATTGTTGTCCCCCTTGGTACCACATGACTAAATAACCGAATCTTATTGGCTACCTGGGCGAGACGCTGAGTCGAGATAGTCGCAAGTGCGCTCATGTCGCTTGCGACTAGGGACAACTAGTTGTCTCCAGTCGGAGGAGTAGAACATGCGCGACTTGAAGAAACTGGAGACGACTGGTTTGCACCAGTCGTAAGAGCGCTCAGTTCGCCAAGTTAGTCACGACTGATCAGTTCCACTTGATCGTAAACCAGTCGCCGATTTCGAGTCGCCGTCAGTTTTATCGCGTCGAAGGGCGACATAAGCTAGGCTTAAGGGCCAATCAAAAATCCACACCACAAAATAATAAAGTAAAACTTTTTTGATAATTATCAGGTGGTGACAAAAATGCTTGCCTTTATTTTTCCGAATTTATTTATCTTTAATGGCTACGAACTGCTCAGGGGAACGCTCTTTTTCGCAACTAAAACGAATTAAAGATGTTAAACGATCAACCATGGGTCAAAAACGTCTTGGTATACTGGCACTTCTCTGCATCGAAAGCGATTTACTTCATAAAATTGACTTTAGTACACGAGACATGATTGGACAATATGGGAATAATAATGACGTATATGATAATTTCAGCCAAGGAAAAAAAAACGACACTTACACATAGGGTCACAGTATGGTATAGGCTAGCGCCTGCATGTCTATGCTATGCGTTCTGTTGGTTTTTGTGTGTGTTAAATTAATCGGTAAGCGCACGAAGGAGAAACAATGAATTAAGAGGGCAACTTGGAGTTTTTTCCTAAGTGGCGACTTTTTTTACTTTTTATTATAAAAAAATCCACTTTTCCGCCATTATTGTTGTCCCCCTTGGTACCACATGACTAAATAACCGAATCTTATTGGCTACCTGGGCGAGACGCTGAGTCGAGATAGTCGCAAGTGCGCTCATGTCGCTTGCGACTAGGGACAACTAGTTGTCTCCAGTCGGAGGAGTAGAACATGCGCGACTTGAAGAAACTGGAGACGGTAAGAGCGCTCAGTTCGCCAAGTTAGTCACGACTGATCAGTTCCACTTGATCGTAAACCAGTCGCCGATTTCGAGTCGCCGTCAGTTTTATCGCGTCGAAGGGCGACATAAGCTAGGCTTAAGGGCCAATCAAAAATCCACACCACAAAATAATAAAGTAAAACTTTTTTGATAATTATCAGGTGGTGACAAAAATGCTTGCCTTTATTTTTCCGAATTTATTTATCTTTAATGGCTACGAACTGCTCAGGGGAACGCTCTTTTTCGCAACTAAAACGAATTAAAGATGTTAAACGATCAACCATGGGTCAAAAACGTCTTGGTATACTGGCACTTCTCTGCATCGAAAGCGATTTACTTCATAAAATTGACTTTAAAAAACTAACTGACGAATTTGCAGTCACAAAAGCACGCAAAGTCGTAATCTAGCTAGGCAGTGAATGGGAATATGTAGGCTACTTATAGTAAATACAGTACTGTCAATGTTCTGAATTTGTTTGTAATAAATTTTCTGTTGCTAAATTTAACTTAATTCCTTTTGTCAATGAGCCCAACATATCTGTATTTTCAGGCCAACTATCAAAATGTGCCTTAGGGCCAGCAGAGCCTTAATCCGGCACTGGTCATGGCCTCTCTTCATCTAATGGTTGCGCCACATCCTTCATGGATTCGCAATCCAATATTTAGTGCTAACTCTTATATTATCGTCTGCATTTAGGTAGGCTTTCTATAAATGTCCAGTGATTCGGCTTTAACCGTAACATCGCCGCGACAGCGTCACCTGTGGATATATACCGTAGAATAATTAGAATTTGTTCAACAGTGACAATATTCGAAGAATCGGTGAAATTTTGACAAAAGGGGATTTTTCAAAGGCGCCTGGTTTGGAACCGGAATAATTCAAAAGTCAAAGGAAACGCGTTAATACGTCATTAAAAGACAGACAAAGATTAATTCGTGTGCTTTCCTGACATATTATACCCAAATGATTTTTTACAGAACCGCGTGCATTTGTAGACATCGTGTTCTCATACTAACATCACCAGAATGAAGAAATATAGTATAAGAAGACTTTGAGAGTAGGCCACGAGACCGTTAAATGAATAAAATACTCTTTTATTTGGATGTTTGGCTGTTGATGTTATAAACTTTTTTTAATATAATGTATTTTTAAATCTTGGTTAATTTCTTTTAAAACTCATTTTATTTTATGTTATGTTATATATTTGATATGCTTTTAACGTGAAAAATTTAGTCTGGAGGCTCAGCGCGGGGAGGTGTCCATCAAATGGGCACAAAACCAGACCCAACTTTTCTAGAGTAACATTTTGCGTAGAATACGATGTCGAGTGGTAATCAGTCCGCCATTGGGGCATTTTCGAGATTTTCGATCATTTTCAGCTTCTTTTCATAATACAAGAATGACTGCGCATTCACTTTCAGTGCAAATGAACTCATTTGACCTTTGACCCCGAATATCCCGAAAACGCCCCAACGGCGGACTGATTACCACTCGGCATCGTATTCTACGCAAAATTTTACTCTACAAAAGTTGGGTCTGGTTTTGTGCCCATTTGATGGCCAACCCCCTCGCGCTGAGCCTTCGGTCTAATTGTATAAATAAACTATAACGGGACATCTATAATAACTTGTTTTCCTTATTTTAACTTCGTCGTGTTGGAAACAAACTGCAAAGTCCAACAAGATGATTAATCTGAGCAATCTAAAACCTATTTACCGGTTGTATAGGGAGATAACTGCGTAAATATTTCAATTTTCTGCAAATTATCTTATTATTCGTTGCAATTATTATACTGACGTGCTGCTAATTGGCGATATTAGGTTTGTATTGTATAATATTGGGTAGTATTTGGTAGCATTTGATAAGTATTTGGTAGAATTGGGTTATTATTTGCTTGATTTGGGTGATATAGGACGGGCAAATGGAACAGACAGACATTGGTAATCACATTTGAAGTATATTTCCCACAATATATCTCACTACTTTTGACAAAATCAAGTAATATGCTCATTTTGCACCACTATGTTGTAATATTGGGTAGTATGTGGTGATATTGGGGTGGTATTGGGTAGTATTTTGTGATATTGGGGTGGTATTGGGTAGTATTTGGTGATATTGGGGTGGTATTGGTGTGGTATTGGGTAGTATTTGGTGGTATTGGGTAGTATTTGGTAAATCGCCCCGCTGTGCTATGAGAGACAGCTGCGATTTCCAATTGTCGGGGTATCTTGAACATGCTACCACTGATCTACGAGTTGGACAAGACGCCTTTCTTTGCCAGAACCAACTGGCAAAGGAATCGAAGTTGAAAAATCCGATCGAACCCGGGACTTTTTGGTCATTATACGGAGATACCTCTCTGCTCTTAATACGTTGGCAATTGGGTTTTTATTTTTAAAAAAATCAGATACAAACACTCAAAATATAATATCAGTCATACAATATACAAATTAAAAGACGATTATATCACAGATTTAAAATATGTTTGAACTTCTTCTAAAGCTAATTTTAAAATCTTTTTAAAAAGTTCTATTAAATCAACAGACACGTTCTTATTCATGATGTGACGTTTATAAACAGCTTGTCTCAAACAACTAAAAAGCAGATTCAGCAGTTCATAAGCAAGTCCATAAAACCCATGTCTGAAAATCTGACAGTGAAAAGCCATTAAAAATGATGGCGATTGATTTGGGTAATAGCTACAAGGATTGACTGAAAAGTTCTAGACCCATCTGTGAAAGACCTGTACAGTTAATGGTTACCATTTATTTTTCTACATAGTCACCTACGAGGTGTACACACTTTTGCCAACCAGTATGCAAGGCCTGGATGCCAGCCACCCTAAAAAAAAGTCGTTCACAGCTGACATAACGTCACCATTACTAGGAAAATGACTGAATTTTGAATTCTGGCTGAAAGTGATGAATCCGGTTCTTATCCATGGTTACAAATCTCCCCAAAAAATTATCAGGATCTGCTTCAAAACGGCGCAAATTGTCATGAGACGTCGGAAATCTGGCACGTTTCTGATTCGCAGTCAAGAGCTTTGGCACCCATCTTGCAGAAACTAATGTGGTCAATCCTCTCATGTACTCAACACTGGCAATATGTCGAGTGGTCAATCGTCGATCAGCTATCATCATGTCATGTACCCGGGTAATGTTTTCTGGAATAGTTACTTTTGATAGCCAGGGCTCTCTCTGTCACGCTTAAATTCTCCAACCCACTTCTTTACCTTGGAAAGGTAAGGGTATAATCCCCTAAAGTGAAGACCATGTCGGCATGCATCTGTATTGGGGTTAGTCCTTTCCGTTGCAGGTACTGATGACTGTCCTATAGTTCATTTCTGGTGATTCCAATGGGTAAGTTCACAAGCTGGCCTGGTACGAAGACAATAATAAAAGTTGGTTTCAAGTCAATTAATCTATCCTTTTCAGGCTTAGAACTTTTCAGGCTTAGAACATTTCAGCCAGCCCTCGCATGATTAGCGTTTGTTTTTCTATAATAATCTAAACGTCGTCAGCAAAGTTTCAAATAACACGTTTGAAATAACAATATCGATTAGAATTTTATAATGATATATGTTTAATATGTACAAATATCTATATCTACAGTATTGCCAGTGAAAAACTTAGCAGCAGGATGAGTAAACGAAATTCCAAAGGTAAAACTGATTAATTTTAGTGAATCATATACAAGTTTAGCAATTTGCATGATTTTCATGAAACTAAAATTATTTGATTTAGTTGTACATATAATTTGTTGATATACGACATTAATCTTTCAAAGACGTTGCCAAAGGCGGAGAACAATTCCATTGGGTGATAATTTGAGCACTGGCATGGGATAGGAGAAACATTTTCTATTTTAAAGGAATTTGGAAATCAATAGGCAAACTAAGATATATATCAAACATTTGAAGGGTACACTTAGGGATTTTGAGGTAGATTTTAAGATTTTGCAACAGACTTATGTTTTTTTACATAGAATTTAAAATTGTAATTTTGATATTAGCACGTGTTTTCTTTGTTTAAAGGATACTACAACATTCTCAACTTTGCGCAACGTTAATATTTAGTTTGGAATATAAGTTTTAAGAAATATAATACAGTATTCACATGTGTCGGTTACTGAGCATTTAGAAACAAACAAAAAACAGCATTAGCTGTTTCTACTTTGTCATGATTGTCAAAATATATTTTGTAGATAAAGGTGGACATTCTGAAAATGAATTAGTACGCTGAATACTCTTTCTATTTTTTTCTTATTCGGTTGTAACTGAATTTGCACCTTTAAATGAAAAACCCGATATAAACTGACAACCATCAAGATTCGCTGAAATGAGTTGTAACTTATGAATCAATTTTATTGGTGTACCTTTTCTGGCTTTTGATAATTCGGGTGTAACTTTATTTCTGAAAATTCGAAATTCACGCCAATAAGTAATGTGTGAAAGTGAAAATTTTCATTCGAACAAATGGATAAGGATATGATATAAGTACTTTTGGCAGTTGGCCCCATTGGTATAAAAATATTTAAAAGGATTATTTTTAAATCTGACAAAAGACGAGGATAATACACATAAAAAGAGACTGTTTTTGTTTTTTTAGCTTGCTGTAACTGTTTCGTAAAGTATTGTTTTAATCAAGTCGACTCATTTCAAAGGTAAAAAAATAACCACATTACTTATTATATGTTTTTGATTACATTACATTAGATATAATGATAAATACTTGAAATTAGATATAATCATAAATACTTCTTAGGAAAGCGACCAGTGCTCCAAAAGGGGCTAAATCTGCCTATTGCAGGTCTTTCTGTAGGTCTAATTAACTCTCGGTGTCATCGCTAGCCTGCGATATTTACTGGACTAGAATCCGATTTGCTGCCCAACGCTCATTGATGATTTAATCCAAAAATGGATAATCGACTCAATTTTTATACGTCCACATTCATAATGTGGACGTATATTGCCGTCGCCCCTGTGTGTGTGTGGGGGGGGGGGGGGGGGGGGGTGTATGTGTGTGTCGCCTACAGGCCACAATTCTTAAGTGATCATCTTCAAACTTTACATACTTATTCCTTATACCCTAAGGATGATCCCTATTGTTTTGGGTGCATGCCCGACCCCCCAGGGGCAGAGCCACGCCCATTTTCTTTTCTTTGTATGTCTGTGTGTCGCCTACAGGCCACAATTCTTAATCAATCGTCTTGAAATTTTTCATATGAATGGCTTATACCCTAAGTGTGATCCCTATTGTTTTTGGTGCATGCCCGACCCCCAGGGGCAGAGCCACGCCCATTCCTTATATTTATTTATTTGTTTGTCATCTACAGACCGCATTTCTTAACGTAACATCTTGAAACTATGCATACTTATTCTTTGTACCCTAAGGAACATCTCTATCGTTTTGGGTGCATGCCCGACCCCCAGGGACAGAGCCACGCCCATTTTCTTTTCTTTTTATGTCTGTGTGTCGCCTTTAGGCCACAATTCTTAATCAATCATATGAATTGCTTATACCCTAAGTATGATCCCTATTGTTTTTGGTGCATGCCCGACCCCCAGGAGCAGAACCAAGCCCATTCCTTATATTTATTTATTTGTTTGTCATCTACAGACCGCATTTCTTAACGTATCAACTTTACATATTTATTCCTTATACCCTAAGGATGATCCCTATTGTTTTTGGTGCATGCTCGCCTCCCGGGGGCAGAGCCACGCCCATTTTTGTATTTGTTTGTTTGTCGTCTACAGGCCGCATTTCTTAACGTATCATCTTGAAACTTTGCATACTTATTCTTTGTACCCTCAGGAACATCCCTATCGTTTTGGGTGCATGCCCAACCCCCAGGGGCAAAGCCACGCCCATTTTCTTTTTCTATGTGTGTGTGTCGCCTACAGGCCACAATTCTTAATGAATTGCTTAAACCCTAACGATGATCCCTATTGTTTTTTTACCCCCAGGGGCAGAGCCACGCCCATTTTCTTTTCTTTTTATGTCTGTGTGTCACCTACAGGCCACAATTCTTTATCAATCGTCTTGAAAATTTTTCATATGAATTGCTTATACCCTAAGTATGATCCCTATTGTTTTTGGTGCATGCCCGACCACCAGGGGTAGAGCCACGCCCATCCCTTATATTTATTTATTTGTTTGTCATCTACAGATCGCATTTCTTATCGTATCACCTTGAAACTTAGCATACATATTCCTTCTATCCTAAGGAACATTCCTATTATTTGTGGTGAATACCCAACCCCCAGGGGCAGAGCTACGCCCATTTTCTTTTTTTATGTCTGTGTGTCACTTGCAGACCGCATTTCTTAATCGATCATCTTGAAATTTTTTTTAGACTTATTCCTTATAGCCTAATGCTACGTTTTTATACTTATTCCTTAATCCTAAGGCTGACCTCTATTATTATTTTTGGTGCATGCTCAACCCCTTGGGACAGAGTCACGCCTAATGTTTGTGTGTCTTGTGTTTTGCCTACAGGCCGCAATTCTTAACAGATCCTTTTGAAACTTTGCATACATATTCTAAACGTCATGCTTTTAGAATAAAGACATCGATTGTTTTAAAATAAAAATTGTGTTCTGTTAATGTGAACGAAACGTTAAATTGATAGCAGTCCTACAACCCAGTTTGATTTCACAGACCCTCAATGCAAACTGGACCATATCAAACAAAACAGGAATGTGGACGTATATTGCTGCGTTAGCGATGCTGTTGTTTTTTTATCTTACCGACTGTAGTAATAATGACCTAAAATTCACAAAAGCTAATATCTAAGTTCAGTGTCGATTAATTTGACGGAAATTTCAACTAATTCCCTTTACATTATCTGGTTTTTAACTATTATAGTGAGAGCTACCAACTCTTTATCTAATCTCCCATAAATCCCCTTTAATATTCTATTGTTACTCTATTTTTTTTTTTTTTTTCGTTTAGCCCTAGAAAGAAACCCTACAAATTTATTTTCCTGTTGATTGTGACGCTAGTTATCATCTATGTAACACAAACGTCAAAAACAATATTAAACCAACCGCCTCTTTCTGAATTGAGACGTTACAGTAGGTCCCCATCAAATCATTTAACAACGCCATTTCCTGTGAATGAGTTACGCCATGTTGCTTTTTTAAAGGTTCACAAAGCCTGTAGTTCAACTGTTTTAAATATAATATACAGGTTTGGATTTCAGAGAGGTCTTACTTTTGTGTTGCCGAGGAAAGGCAACTATCTTGGCGGTCGTTCATCGAGTAGGCCTATAGAGAAACACCGAATTCTGCCACCATCTTTGAACAAAACATACGACATGTTGTGTAACCACGTGATATTCAACAAGACCATATTTGGTCATTATCTGCCTAGGGACACGGTATATATTGCTATAGTAAGAGATCCTTACGAACGCTTTAGGTCTGCCTACCATTACTATCGAACAGTATATCGAATAGGATATCTCATACATGGTCCAACCGGAGCTGATCATTTTGAACAATTTATAGCCAACCAAGATATCTACGAGCCCACCAATCCGTATCATTCTTACACCAACAACAGAATGGCTGTGGATTTTGGATTTCCAACTAAATACTTCAAAAATTCTACTAAAATGTTGAAATACGTGCAGGACTTGGACTTAACATTCGATCTAGTTATGATAACTGAACGATTTGACGAATCTATGATACTTTTACGAAGAATGTTAAATTGGTCATTCAAGGATATATTGTACATAAAGCTGAATGCTCTCAAAAATAAACCCAAGAATAACATCAATTCTACCATGATGGACAAAGTTAAGAAATTCTCAGAATTGGATTATATTCTGTATAACTATTTTTACGAAAAATTTGATAAGCGGGTTAAGCAGCAACCTTCTAATTTTAGCGACGAAGTTTCCGTATTTACATCAATACGCGAACAAGTGGCTACGTTTTGTTTAACTACGACTTCCAATGAAACATATCTATGGGTAGCAGACACAAAGTGGAGTGAAGCTTTCACAATTTCTTACATGGATTGCAAACAGATAAAACTGGGCGAATTAAAATTTCTGAGTATTTTAGTGAAAGAGCAAAAATCGAGAATAAGTAGAGTCGGGGTCAATAGAAAATTCTTTGATTCGATTTCTGATATTCACTTCGGAAAACAGTTCAGATACCTCCCACAGCATGTCAAAAGAAAGGAACAGAAACGTGAAAAACGAGATGCATAACCTATGGAAATAGTATGCGGGCATATGAGGAAGATGGTCCATCTTACTATTATTAAGCTTTTTCGAAAATTATCGTTTGGAATGCAGTAAAATTGTGAATGCAGGGCAAGTTAAGGTTATAAAAACAGCGTACTATGTTATATTGCACCGAGTTTACTTTCTAAAAAGGGGCATCGGCTTCATAAATCCAAGGTCAAATTATCTTGTTATATCTAATAGTAATGTGTGTGTCGCGCACAAAACAGAAGAACTACGCCTTTTCTAGAACACCTGATAAAACATCTGATTTGTTCAGAAATTTCAAGCAGCCAACAATTTTTTGCTGTAGTGTTGTATTTCGGACAGTGACTCTGTGGGTGACTTTCTACCAGCTATACCCGTCTTTTTAAACTAATCCAAAATGTTACTTCAAAAAAAGCAATATGAAGTGACGGGTATCGTGCACACGGCGCGGATGGCATGTTTGCTTTTCCTATGGCACGTGATACCACTTTGACGTTGTCCCTTGCCAGACCTGCGGTAACATTGTGAAGTTTCACTAAATCCCTGACCATTTCAGTAATTGTAATCAAAACTCTGTTATGTGTCTTCATCTGTATACATCAGGGGCCGGTTGTTCAAAGCTCCATTTACTTATAACGACCTGTTAACATGAAGTTAACGAATCGTTATCTTTAACGGAGAAAAAGCTTGTTGCTGAATCCCCGTTAACTTTAACATGTTGTTATATTTAACGATGGTATTGGAATTAGTCGTCTGTCAGTCGAAACATACCCAAGTAGCAAAAATCCATAGATTACCTGTGTAGTTTCCTATAGAATTCTATAGAACATTCTAGAATTATTTGGGGGGAGTGGGAAAGGGCGGTATCTCATTGTCTATCGAATGAAATTCTATAGTATTCTACAGAATGAATTTTCGGGGGCTGTAGGAAATAACATTTTACAGTTTCTGTAGTGCAGACCCTATAATTGTCCTATAGATTTATGCTACAATTTCTAGCAATTTATTCTAATTCTATAGATTTTTTTTCTAGAGTTTTCTGTAGGAAATTCTGCAGTTATCTTTTTGTCTTTAGTTAATTTGTGTGAACAGACTGCGCAGTTGTCCTGCTGTTTCAGTTTCTTACTAACTCCAATGAAGTTGTTATACATGTACATTTACAATGAATTTAAATATTTAAAAATTCAGCCAATGAACAAACAGTCGTTTCTTAGATTAACTTTAATCTGTCCGGTAGCTAACTGATAATAAAATTGGCTTTCCAGCAACAGAAATTTAACGGACCGTTAACAAACGTGACACATTAGCAAGATAACGATCTGTTACAGTTTTAACGGATCGTTAAAATAACTTGAGTTTTGAGCAACCGGTCCCAGATAAAAATATTCATGCGTTATTCTGTTTTGGAGATGTTGACACGAGTTAATTCAGGTAGAATAAAGAATTTGACTTACATTTGTTATCTATTATTTGTTTAATCATGGTAATGAGTGGGATGAATTGTACAAACTTTAATTGAACTTGTAGGTCACTGCATTCAGTTAATTCACGAACTCGGTAATTTAACAAGGCTTGTATTCTTCAGAACGAAATGGCATGTTTCTTTTTTGTGTGATGTGTCTTTCGAGATTTTCTCCATGACTGATTATCTGCTAGATGAAAACGTAAAACACTTTCGCTTTCAGGTGTGAATGCACTTGATAGTTGTTGATGCTTAAAGTCGGGGGAGAGAGAGCAAGAGAGAGAGAGAGAGAAAGCGAGAGAGAGAGGGAGAGACATATCGTCACCATTACTACGAAAATAATTGAATTTTGAATTCTGGTTAAAAGTGATGAATCCGGGTCTTATCCATGGTTACAGGGCTAAAATAGACAGACGCACATTTCATTCTTTAGAAATCAGACGCGCATTGGGTTCTTTAGACGACCATTTAAAGATGTAATGGTTTCCTGGTTAGACTTTTACAGCACTGTGGATGGAGACAAAGACATGTTAACTTTAAATATTGTATTGTAGACTACTGTGTAACTGTTGTGACATAAAAGCATTTAGCAAAAACACTATCGTTGTTCAAGTTACTTATTTCGGTATCGTAAGGAAAATTTGCCAGATCGTGTCTGAGAGCGGCACGGGGATAATGTAGCGGAAGCGAAGCGTACTGAGGGCGGAGCGGAGCGGGGTGGGACGTGGGGGGGCATAGCGAGGACTTCGTTTTGTGTGAAGCTCGTACTAGCATGGTGAGAGCGTAGCGCGATCTGCTTGGTTTAGAGAGGGCTTGATGAGCTCTTTGTCAACGTACTAAGAGTGCCACCATGGGCGTTCTACCCGCTCTATGTACGCTGTTAGCACGCTTTTTTTAAAGTCAAAGCGAGGTTGTGGTGTATGTGTGAAGAGGATATAACATGAGACACTGTTTGCGCTTCAATGCGCATTTTATATCACCAAAGTCGGAATCATTGGGAAGAAAAGTGTGACCCAATACCCTAAACCAAAACTGGGCAGTATGAAGAGAAATATCTAACCATCAACATAATTACCAGAAGAAGGATCTATCCCGCATATAGCTTTGTTATGCAAAATGCATTTTCGGAAATAACAGTGATCCAACCCACTTAGATCAGACTTGTTTAATAAGCAAAAGGGGTCAGAGTATTTTGTAATAGTGTTTATTAAACAAGCTATAAATAGAGAGAGAGAGAGAGAGAGAGAGAGAGAGAGAGAGGGGGGGGTTAACGTCCACTCGACACAAACTAGGTCATTTCGGGACTAACACATGGTTCAATTTTATTTTAATAATTCGCTTGCGCGTAGGGGTCTTTAGCAGTGGGGCGGGGGGAAACCGGAGGACCCGGAGAAAACCCACCACGAGGTGGACAGCCGACCCTACTCCTTGTCACGTACAACTGAGGAATCGAAACCACGCCAGTTCACTCAATGACAGACCGTATGATACCTCACGCACATGCTAACCATTCGGCTATCCAACCCCCAATCTATAAATAGCTTTGATCTATTAATAGATATCGGTTAGAACAATATTGCATATCAATCGTCATGAATTCTTTAATCGAAATATGTACTAAAACGACTTTTGGAAATTTGAGGGTTAGGATACATTTGCGTAACACCGCCCAATTAATAGATTTATTTGCCTTTGAATACGTGTTTTAACATAGAAGTCAATGGGAAGAGAATTACTGGTCTTACTCCAACAAATTAATAGATTTATTTCCCCTCGAACACTTATTTAAACATCGACTTCAATGAGGAGATAAAATAGCGAGAGAGAGAGAAATGGGGTTTAACGTCCACTCGACACAAACTAGGTCATTTCGGGACTAACGTATGGTTTAATTTTATTTACATAATTCACTTGCGCGTAGGGGTCTTTAGCAGTGGGAGGAAACCGGAGGACCCGGAGAAAACTCACGAGGTTGGACAGGCGACCCTACTCCTTGCCACGTACAACCGGGGATTCGAAACCACGACAGTCGACTCAATGACAGACTTTATGATACAGCGCGCTCACGCTAACCATTCAGCCATCCACCCCCCCGAGAGAAAATAACTAGTCTTACTCCCTCCGTACTCACTTCAACATAGGCTATCTATAGATTTATTTCCCCATCACAATGAAAATATCACTTTAAAAACCTAGGGGCTTGGACTTTCGGAATTAAATGCATGGTTACTGTAAACATATCTATATTTCGTTTACTGTTTATTACAAAGTCAATCCACTATATAAGATAATCCAATGTCAAGGTTATAGAGTTTCTCCGTCGTCGTTCGTTACCAGCGCACGTTGTTAGCGCTACTCTATCTTATGTTGTAAAAGTTATGCCGTAAATGAACCATAGTCCACTCTACAGATTTAGTTTTCATAGACCTTAACAGATCAATAAATATACAGTTACCGTTTCCAAGGCACTAATTGACCTACTTAAAACTGTAAATAATATTCGAAATTAAAAACACGAATTAGAATTCAATATTGGTATTGTTATCTTGCCGTGAGAATATGGTGTACTAATATCCAATATTTAAGACACAGTGAACCTTTTATAATAAGTACACGAGTCACGTACTTTAGTTTCGGGCGCCATATGTAATAATGGCTGATTCACAAACGACAAAATACTAATAATAAAAACGTGTAGAATGGACAAAGCATACGCAAAAGACTGCCGTTCAATTTTGACTTTTCACGTATTTCACATGCACTGTAGGCTGAAACATATGCCATCATTCCCGGCTTTATCAATTGTGTTTAAAACAAAGTTTCATCTTCCTCAAGTCGTGGGGGCTCATAAGATGAAAAGCATTGGCCTCTCTTCATCTAATGGTTGCGCCACATCCTTCATGGATTCGCAATCCAATATTAAGTGCTTACATATTTCTAATATTATTGTTTGCATTTGGGTAGGCTTTCTATAAATGTCAAGTGATTCGGCTTTACCCGTAACATCGCCGCGAGCGTCACCTGTGGATATATACCGCAGAATAATTAGAATTTGTTCAATAGTGACAATATTCGAAAACTCGGTGAAATTTTGACAACCTCGTGGGTTTTCTCCGGATCCTCCGGTTTCATCCCACTGCTAAAGACCCCTACGCTCAAGCCAATTATTGAAATAAAATTAAACCATAATCATAGTCCCGAAATGACCTAGTTTGTGTCGAGTGGACGTTAAACCACATCTCTCTCTCTCTCTCTCTCTTCTAAAGCTAATATTAAAATCTTTTTAAAAAGTTCTATTAAATCAACAGACACGTTCTTATTCATGATTAAAATGCGACGTTTATAAACAGCTTGTCTCAAACAAATAAAAAGCAGATTCAGCAGTTCATAAGCAAGTCCATAAAACCTATGTCTGAAAATCTGACAGTGAAAAGCCATAAAAAATATTGGCGATTGATTTGTCTAATAGCTACAAGGGTTAACTGAAAAGATCTAGACCCATCTGTCAAAGACCTCTACAGTTAATGGTTACCATTTATTTTTTTACATAGTCCCTTTCGAGGTGTACACACGTTTACCAACAATTATGCAAGGCCCGGATGCCCGGCCAGGAAAAACGTTTCTTCAGCCATCCTTACAAAAAGTCGTTCACAGCTGAGATAACGTCACCATTACTAGAAAAATGACTGAATTTTGAATTCTGGCTGAAAGTGATGAATCCGGGTCTTATCCATGGTTACAAATCTCCCCAAAAAATTAACAGGATCTGCTTCAAAACGGCGCAAATTGTCATGAGACGTCAGGAATCTGGCACGTTTCTGATTCGCAGTCAAGAGCTTTGGCAAACATCTAGCAGAAAATAATGTGGTCAATCCTCTCATGTGCTCAACACTGGCAATATGTCGAGTGGTCAATCGTCGATCAGCTATCATCATGTCATGCACCCGGGTAATGCTTTCTGGAATAGTTGCATTTGATAGTCAGGGCTCTCTCTGCCACGCTTAAATTCTCCAGCCCACTTCTTTACCGTGGAAAGGTAAGGGTATAATCCCCAAAAGTGAAGACCATGTCGGCATGTATCTGTATTGGGATTAATCCTTTCCGTTGCAGGTATACTGATGACTGTCCTATAGTTCATTTCTGGTGATTTCAATGGGTAGGTGCACAAGCTGGCCTGGTACGAAGACAATAATAACACTACAGATGCAGTTCTTATGTCTGTGATTGATTCAATGATTGTACTTTTTGGTGTAAAAAGTTGGTTTCAAGTCAATTGATCTATCCTTTTCAGGCTTAGAACTTTTCAGCCAGCCCTCGCATGATTAGCATTTGTTTCTCTATAATAATCTAAGCGCCGTCAGCAATGTTTCAAATAACACGTTTGAAATAACAATATCGATTAGAATTTTATAATGATATATATTATGTTCAATATGTACAAATATCTATATCTACAATATTACCAGTGAGAAACCTAGCAGCAGGATGGGTAAACAATATTCTAAAGGTAAAACTGATTAATTTTTGTGAATCATATACAAGTTTAGCAATTTGCATGATTTTCATGAAACTAAAATTATTTGATTTAGTTGTAGATATAATTTGTTGATATACGACATTATTTCTAAATTGAAATCAACAATGGACAAAGTTATTCACTTGAATTATTAAAATTGAAAATGTGATTATAAATTAATTTCCCAATTCCATTGGGTGATAATTTGAGCACTGGCATGGATAGGAGAAACATTTTCTATTTTACAGGAATTTGGAAATCAATAGGCAAACTAATCAAACATTTGAAGTGTACACTTAGGGATTTTGAGGTAGATTTTAAGATTTTGCAATAGACTTATGTTTTTTGCCATAGAATTTAAAATTGTAATTTTGATATTAGCACGTGTTTTCTTTGTTTAAAGGATACTACAACATTCTCAACTTTGCGCAACGTTAATATTTAGTTTGGAATATAAGTTTTAAGAATATAATACAGTATTTACATGTATCGGTTACTGAGCATTTAGAAACAAACAAAAAACAGCATTAGCAGTTTCTACTTTGTCATGATTGTCAAAATATATTTTGTAGATAAAGGTGGACATTCTAAAAAATGAATTAGCACGCTGAAATGACGTTGCAAGTTTAAATGAATAACTTTTATCTGAATACACTTTCTACTTTTTCCTAATTCGGTTGTAACTGAATTTCCACGTTTAAATGAAAAACCCGATATAAACTGACAACCATCAAGATTCGCTGAAATGAGTTGTAACTTATGAATCAATTTTATTGGTGTACCTTTTCTGGCTTTTGATAATTCGGGTGTAACTTTATTTCTGAAAATTCGAAATTCACGCCAATAAGTAATGTGTGAAAGTGAAAATTTTCATTCGAACAAATGGATAAGGATATGATAAGTACTTTTGGCAGTTGGCCCCATTGGTATAAAAATATTTAAAAGGATTATTTTTAAATCTGACAAAAGACGAGGATAATACACATAAAAAGAGACTGTTTTTGTTTTTTTAGCTTGCTGTAACTGTTTCGTAAAGTATTGTTTTAATCAAGTCTACTCATTTCAAAGGTAAAAAAAATAAC